AAATGTGACTCTGGAGCACAAAACCAGTCATAAGGGTAAATTTTTCGAAATCAAGATTTATACATCATCTGAAAGCTGAATAAGTAATCTTTCCATTGATGTATGGAAAGATTGAAAGATTGAGATGAAAATCTGGAATCTGAGGGTGCAAAAAAATCTAAATATTGAGAAAATCATCTTTAAAGTTGTCCAAATTAAGTTCTTAGCGATGCATATTACTAATCAAACATTAAGTTTTGATATATTTACGGTAGGACATTTACAAAATATCTTCATGGAACATGATCTTTACTTAATATCCTAATGATTTTTGGCATAAAAGAGAAATGTATAATTTTGACCCATACAATGTATTGTTGGCTATTGCTACAAATATACCCCAGCGACTTAACACTGCTTTTGTGCTGCAGGGACACATATGGGTCACACACTCATATCATAATTTTTTAAAATATTTATATGTATATTTTAAAGAAGTTTTTTCTACCGGTAGTGGTGTTCTGTGCTGTGAACCGTGTTTCTCGGCAGGTGTTGGAGACGCTCTCCTGGTATCCTGATGAGGAAAAGCAAGTAAAATCAGGCACACAATGTTTGTTCTCATGATGTTTTCTTCCACAAATTAAGGCCTAAAAAGCTCTTAAATCAGAGTATAAAGTCTTAAAGTCTTTGCATACACTGCAAAACATGAATCTCTTCCTCAGTGTTTCTGTCTTGTTTTCCAGCGCAAATATCTAAACATCCTTAAATCAAGACACATTTACTGGAGACGCAAATTGAACATATGAAGTCTTGTTTTATTAGAAAGTGATCAAAATTAAAAACAAGAACAAATATCTCAATGAAAACTTGTTTTCCCTTTGAATTAAATTTTTCTGACTCTGTTGGGTCAGATATTTGGTCTTGTTTTAATGATAAACTCGCTTCATTTTGATCAGTTTCTCATGAAATAAGTCTTCTTGTTTTAAGTAATTTAGCTCATCGCTCATGTCAAGTAAATGTGTCGTGATTGAAGAATCTTTAGACATTTGCACTGGAAAACAAGACAGAAATACAGAGGAATGAGGATTCACTGCTGTTAAAGCTGATGTCGGCACGAGTGTGTCATTAACTGAATTTTACCGTACATTTCTGCCACCATCACTGATAAGCTACTACTAAATATATTGTAGAAACTTAATTTTCTGTAAAGCTGCTTTGCAATGATTTGTATTGTGAAAAGCGCTATACAAATAAACTTGAATTGAATTGAGTGTGTGTGCACATGCATGTTTAAACATGTAAAATGTGGCAAATGTTTGTTCTCAGGAGTGACAGTTCAGCAACACAAACTGTGGAAAGTGTCCTTTGATTTTAAGCTTCTGTTCAAATGTAGTTCATTCTGTGAGAGAGATTGCCTGATATATACACGCGTGTGTGTGTGTTTCTAGATCACGAGATGCATGCGTTCAGCTGATGGTCTCACTGATATGACTGATGAACTGAACTGTGTGTGTTTCAGCTGTACGACAAGATTAACACCCGCTCGTCGCCGCAGATCAGGAATCCGCCCAGTGACGCCGTCCAGAGAGCCAAAGAGGTGCGTAACCAACACGGCACACACTCCTCGAACCTCTCTCAGCTCCAGGAGCGTCTGACGGATGTTCTGTGCAGCGTTTATATCTGTGCTCTCAGAGACTCTTGTCAAACATTACATACATCTGAACATTCACAGTCAGAACCTTCCAGCATTCATTCATGTTTCAAACGCAAGGAACGTAGCGAGTAGATGAATGGATCAGAATATGAGGCTTCGTCACGTAACACTCGACTAGAGCTTCTAGAGCTTCTTATCTTCAGCTCTGGTTTACATTAATATGTGACCCTGGACCACAAAACCGGTCAATTCGAATTATTTCTAAAAATGACTTTATAAGAAAGTACTTGATGATATCGGAGTACAGCATGTTTGTGGTCATTGTGGCTTTTAAATTAGTTGAGATACAACTATTTGAAAATCTGGAATCTGAGGGTGCAAAAAAATCTAAATATTGAGAAAATCATCTTTAAAGTTGTCCAAATTAAGTTCTTAGCGATGCATATTACTAATCAAACATTAAGTTTTGATATATTTACGGTAGGAAATTTACAAAATATCTTCGTGTAACATGATCTTTACTTCATATCCTAATGATTTTTGGCATAAAAGAGAAATGTATAATTTTGACCCATACAATGTATTGTTGGCTATTGCTACAAATATACCCCAGCGACTTAACACTGCTTTTGTGCTGCAGGGTCACATATGATTACTCGTATCATAATTTTAAAAAAATATTTATATGTGTATTTTAAAGAAGTTTTTTCTACCGGTAGTGGTGTTCTGTGCTGTGAACCGTGTTTCTCGGCAGGTGTTGGAGACGCTCTCCTGTTATCCTGAGAACATGGAGGCAAAAGAGCTGAAGAGAATCCTGACACAGCCGCATTTCATGGTGAGTCAAAGCAGTCGGACGCGGCGCTCTGTTCTGAAACCAGAGCATGAGGTGTCAGCGAGACGAGACGCCTATCAGTTTAGCAGACGCTTACGAGAGAATATTATAAAGAATGTCCAGGTCATATTTCACCTCAAAACCAGTGATATATTTCATTAGGACTGTTTGATATTGTCACATTGTTTTATGAGAATTAAATGTTTATCCTGTAAATTCCTGTTGATGTACTATAGTCATAAAGCTCAAACATGCCATTTTTTTAATTAATCCAGGCTTTCTGTGGGTCGTGAAAAGTTTTAATTCACCCTTCCACAAATAAAGACCTGAAAAAGCTCTTAAATCAAAGCAGAAAGTCTTAAATTCATAAAGGCGTGGCATTAAATGTTGCATGCACAGCAACAAAATAAATCTCTCCCTCAGTATTTCTGTCTTGTTTTTCAGTTCAAACGTCTAAACATCCTTAAATCAAGATACTTTTACTGGAGATTCAAATTGAACACATGAAGCCTTAATTTCTTCGATCAAAATGTAGTGAGTCTATGCTTAAAACAAGAACAAATATCTGCCAATGGTGAATGAAAACTAAATTTTTTTGACTCCATTGGCAGATATTTGTGTATTTTTCTTATGTATTTGTGAGCAGAGCTTTCCAAGCCTTAATCTATTTATTTTATAACATTAATTAAAAAGTTATTAAGAAGCAGCATAAATTAAGTTCTGTACAACAAATTCTAGCATGATGTATTCTTATTGCAATTGTAGAAGATACAACTTTATTATGTACTTTAACTTTAAATGCAATATTAAATATGGATAGTTTATGTCCGCATTACAGCAATGAGAATTTTTTTTAACTTGAAATGTGTTTGATTGTCATGATCATCCCGATTATCTGATACACAGCTTAAACTCACAATTACCTGCTTTAAAATAATAATAACAAAGTATCATAGTTATTAATCCATAGAAATAATCAGTGTATTGATGATTTCTGAGAATGATTCCTTATAAATGACTTTTTAACATTATTTATGGTTTTTGATGCTCATAGTCCAGACTGAGAATGTGTTTATAATGTTTGATATTTACAGTAATGTTCATTAGCATTACTTCATTAATTACATTAATTCATTAGGTTTCATGAACTAACAATGAACAAGACTTTTACAGTATGTATTAATGCAGATTAATGTCATTTAATAAATACAGTGTTGTTCATTGTTCGTTCATGTTTCTTCTTGATTAATTAATTTATGCAAATTTAAAATGTTAAAAATGTGTGTAGGAATATGTAGATGTTACCTGTTATTTTTACACAAAGTAAACAATGTAAAACTTCAACAGTTAAGAAGTAACTTAGTTTGCTTTTAAGTTATTTAATTTTTGCATTAAGGTTTCAAATGGCTTTTGTGACTCTGAAGTGTTAGAAGTTTTTCTCGGCCGTGTGGTTTTGTTTTCCGCTCAGATGTGAGATGAGCCAGCTTGTGTTATTACTGTAGTGACCAAATAAACAAACAGACACACTTCACACACACACACACACACGCTCTCTCACACACACACACACACACACACACGTGCACTCTCACACACACACGCGCACTCTCACACACACACACGCGCACTCACACACACGCGCACTCACACACACGCGCACTCACACACACGCGCACTCACACACACGCGCACTCACACACACGCGCACTCACACACACGCGCACTCACACACACGCGCACTCACACACACGCGCACTCACACACACGCGCACTCACACACACGCGCACTCACACACACGCGCACTCACACACACGCGCACTCACACACACGCGCACTCACACACACGCGCACTCACACACACGCGCACTCACACACACGCGCACTCACACACACGCGCACTCACACACACGCGCACTCACACACACGCGCACTCACACACACGCGCACTCACACACACGCGCACTCACACACACGCGCACTCACACACACGCGCACTCACACACACGCGCACTCACACACACGCGCACTCACACACACGCGCACTCACACACACGCGCACTCACACACACGCGCACTCACACACACGCGCACTCACACACACGCGCACTCACACACACGCGCACTCACACACACGCGCACTCACACACACGCGCACTCACACACACGCGCACTCACACACACGCGCACTCACACACACGCGCACTCACACACACGCGCACTCACACACACGCGCACTCACACACACGCGCACTCACACACACGCGCACTCACACACACGCGCACTCACACACACGCGCACTCACACACACGCGCACTCACACACACGCGCACTCACACACACGCGCACTCACACACACGCGCACTCACACACACGCGCACTCACACACACGCGCACTCACACACACGCGCACTCACACACACGCGCACTCACACACACGCGCACTCACACACACGCGCACTCACACACACGCGCACTCACACACACACGCGCACTCACACGCGCACTCACACACGCACTCTCACACACACGCTCTCTCACACACACACACACACACACTCACACACACACTCTCACACACACACGCACTCTCACACACTCACTCACTCTCACACACACTCACACACACACACACTCACACTCACTCACTCACACACTCACACACACACACTCTCACACACACTCTCACACACACGCACTCACTCACACACACACACACTCACTCTCACACGCACACACACACTCTCACACACACTCTCACACACACGCACTCACTCACACACACACACACTCACTCTCACACGCACACACACACTCTCACACACACTCTCACACACACGCACTCACTCACACACACACACACTCACTCTCACACGCACACACACACTCTCACACACACTCTCACACACACGCACTCACTCACACACACACACACTCACTCTCACACGCACACACACACTCTCACACACACTCTCACACACACGCACTCACTCACACACACACACACTCACTCTCACACGCACACACACACTCTCACACACACTCTCACACACACGCACTCACTCACACACACACACACTCACTCTCACACGCACACACACACTCTCACACACACACACACACACACTCACTCGCACTCTCACACACACACGCACTCACACACACACGCACTCTCTCTCTCACACACACACTAACACACACACACACTCACACAGTAAACCTTTGATAAACTACAGCTGTGGAGTGTGTAATGATTTTTATGCACACACATGTTCCTGTCGCAGTCGTGGCTGTTCATGAATCTGTGTTATTTTTTATTGATTATGATTTGTGCTCACGCTGTCCACGCAGATGAGATCTGATCCACAGATGCTGATGAACAGGTTTTGTTCAGAGATGAGTGTTTGACGCTGCAGATGCTGAGTGTGTGGTTCCTGTCGCAGGCGCTGCTGCAGACGCACGATGTCGTGGCTCATGAGGTTTACAGCGACGAGGCGCTGCGAGTGACGCCTCCACCCACGTCCCCTTACCTCAACGGAGACTCGCCCGAGAGCATCAGCGGAGACATGGACCTGGAGAACGTCACGCGTGTGCGCCTGGTGCAGTTCCAGAAGAACACGGACGAGCCCATGGTACCCAATCTCACACACACACACACACACGCACGCTCGTGTCATTGCTGTTTCATGAGCGACCAGTGTCAGATATTCTGAAATAAGCTCGTGTTTATAAGAGACTCTAACAGAATGATGTGACCAGAAACTCTATACAGTATTACTTTCCATGATCAGGGCCAAAATAGACTTTCCAACAAAACGCCAGTGAATGAAACTGATGTTTCCAGGTCTGGAGCTCAAAGTAAATGTTTTATGAGCTGTTTTATTTTACATTGGTCTTATATGACCTTGTTACCACAATTTCTGAAAAACTTTTTTATTTATTTTTTTGAATTTTGAGTGGTACATTGTCTTGTGAGAGAGATAATAAAAAATAAGAGACAAAAAAAGAAAATTTAAAATTCACAAAATTATACTAAAACAAGAAATGTGTAACAGCAAATGCGTACATTCTGATTTAATTGATTTCTAGCAACAAACACACTTGTGTGTCACAGTCTGATTATCTTTTCCTCTGTTTATGGAGTGGAAGATTGTGTGGTAATGGTGTTGCATGCAAAGTGTGCAATAAAACTGAAATATGTCAGATCAGATTGACAAATCTATTACTCTGTCAAGTCACATTTAATTCTGTAATGCTTTATACAACACAGATCATTTCAAAGCAGCTTCACTGAAGTTAACACAATCGATGATGCAAAATTTAAGACAAATCCGAGTTTTTCTGTAAAACAGCTCTACAGAAAACAATAGTGATATTATTCAGACCTTCAGTGTAGTTCAGATCAATATCTGTGAAGCTCATCAGTTAAATTCAGCACTAAGCAGCTGCAGACAGTAGTGTTGCGTGACTTTATTGGATTCGGTTGAGACTGAGATGAGACACTGAAATCCCCTCGTGAGGGACGTTTGTGATGCTCGTGCGATCGCTGTGAGACTGAGAGCTGCAGATGGACGTGTGCTGATATCATGGGTGTGATTGTGTGTTGACAGGGCATCACTCTGAAGATGAACGATCTGAACCACTGCATCGTGGCTAGAATCATGCACGGCGGGATGATCCACAGACAGGGTATGGCTGTGTGTGTGATTGACGTGAACACCGGCATGTGTGTGTGTGTGAGAGAGAGTGGGTGTGAGTGTGTGTGGTGTGAGAGTGTGTGTGTGTGTGTGAGAGAGAGAGTGTGTGTGTGTGTGTGAGTGAGAGAGAGAGAGTGAGTGTGTGTGTGTGTCTCTGTGCTCATGTACGCTGTCATTTCTCAGGGACGCTGCATGTTGGAGACGAGATTCGTGAAATCAACGGCATCAGTGTGGCCAATCAGACGGTGGAGCAGCTCCAGAAGATGCTGGTGTGTTTGTGTGTGTGTGAGAGAGAGAGAGAGCAGAACAACACTAGTGCAAGAGATCAGAATCTTATCAAAAGCAAAGACTGAGTCACTGTGGTAACTATTCGAGTAAACCCACCAGACCCGTCTAATAACCTCAGAGAGGACTTCACCTGCTCTAGTCCTCCTGTCATAACTAGTTTTGCATTAACCGGGGTTTGTAGTTATCATAACATATTTAATCAGTGACAACATGTCAACAGAACAGGTATTATAATCAGTGCAATATGACTTTATCCTCCAGTTTCACAGCTTAAGCCTAGTCCCAGAAAAAAAACACATGAAATAAACTTGCACTGATTGATCTTAAAATATGTCAGTGCTCTTGTTTTGTCCTAATTCAACTGTGGCCCAATCCTGACTCAGTCTAAGCCCTGTCTGTGAAACCAGGCCTTTAACATTAAATGTGTTGACTAAATACTGAAAGCTCAAGTGACACTAACACGTTTGCTCTGCTTTCTAAATAAAGACAATACACTGACTTCCTTTTATATATACAGCTAGTTATAAATACTATAACCACGTCCTAACCCACACGTTAACCCTGACAGAAAGCTTGTGCATTCGTACATAAAAAAAAAAACTCAATATACTTTATTTTTAAACTGTTTTATAAACGAGCATGTCCCCAAAACGGAGGTTTTGTCAGGTTTAGCTCACTTTTGGTACAAATTTGTCCCCAAAATATGGTCAGGTAGGTACACACGTTCACACACACTCACACACACATACACGCACACGCATGCACTCACACACACACACATACATGCACACGCATGCACTCACACACACACATACACGCACACACTCTCATGCACACACACACACACACACACTCTCTGATGCACACACACGCACCATACATGCACACACACACACACACACACACACACACACACTCACACACACATGTCTCTGATATCTGTCAGGCAGTGTGTGATTTTGAGCTGCTGGTTACTGTGTTTACATCAGCGGTCAGTTATAGTTTGTCACGTGTTTGTGTTTTGTTTTTAAACAGCGGGAGATGCGAGGCAGCATCACCTTCAAAATTGTGCCCAGTTACCGCAGTCAGTCTCTGTCCTGTGATGTAAGTGTTCCTGTCAGAGCGCCACACGCTGGCCACTCCTGGAATATCAACACAAAATGTACACATGACATCACATCTTACTCTGTTTTACTGTGGCATTTCAGAAAGATTCGCCTGATCTGTCCGGACAGTCTCCTGCGAACGGCCACTCCAGTGTCACCAGCTCCATCTTAGTAAGACTCCAGATCTTCTGTGTCAGAATAAACCACAGCACGCGCACCCAAACCTGTTACAGCGCAATGCATTATGGGTGCCGATGAAGATTTAGGCCTTTTCTTGCGTTACTCTGCACAGAAACAGAGTAATGTCGTAACAGTTTGTGTCCATCAGCTTTTTCAAAACAGAATATTTGTGTTTGAAACTAATAGTTGATGTAGTAATCGAGTGGTTTATAAAGGTAATAATTTCTCTGCAGGATCTGCCATCAACTATCCAGCCCAAAGGAAGACAGGTGAGAGTCTGTGTTGCCGTCGTGAGTGTGTGTCTGTGTGTGTCTCTCAGCTGCTCCTCCTGAAGATCTCTTCACACCGAGAGACACGTGTGACTGTGTTGCTTTTCAGTTTCAATCAGATGTTTTCATTCTGAAAAAACGTTGACACACCTGAAGGAAAGCGATCTGTCTCTCACTCGCTTCCCTTCAACAGGCCCAATCTCTGGAGGTTTATTCCCTTTTCTGCCTCTCATATAAGACCTGCGCTCTTATTGGCAGCTGAAAGCTTCATAAAAACCAGTGTGGGTATTTAATTTTTTGTCGCTGATGATGGAGAAAAAACCATCACTTTATTGACAGGTGAATTTTTGAATGCATATTTTTGATTGAAAGAGAAGCCTGCATTGGGTGTGAATATGCCTTTAATGCCCGTCCCGTCAGCCTACTGCTTTATGATGCGATTCCTGCGTCGTCCTGCCGTTTCCTGTCCACGTCAGTCTGTTCTACTGCATGATGTGTGTGTGTGTGTGATGCTTTCAAACCCTTAGATCTCCAGACCTGCAGTCAAGGATAAAATGTTTCGGAAGGTGAGTTTCTCAGATCCAGTAGAGCCGTTGAGCCGGATTCATTTCCCATCAGGCTTTGCTTCTCTAGTTGGTGCTTATAGACTCTCCCAGCATCCCATAGTGATGGTACATGACACTAACCCACCTGCCAATCACGTCTGTGTCCGTCCTAGTAGTGTGATTGGCCCCGCCCCTCACAGATGATTGGCTTCTTAGACACGCCCGTGCCGTCTGTCAGTATTTATAAGCGTTTTGAAAAGTGGGGACATGGGGTAATGTCCTGAAAAGTCACCTTCTCCTTGTAATACCTATGTCATACCTTTGTCATTATACAAATTTATGTCCTCATTTGTCACAAAAACGTTCACACTCACACACACACACACACACACTCACACACTCTAACACTCACATACACACACTCACACAAACACACACACACACACGGTTTTAAATATAGCTTTTGAACAATCTGAAATGGGTAAGTTACTGACAGAAGATTTATTATACAGTATTTTGTTGAATATTGACTGTAAATCTGGATGTCTGAAGCTGCTGAATTGTGTGTGAATGCGCTGACCTCTCTGTGACCTACTGACATCAGATCAGATCAGAGAGACGCTGCCACCTGCTGACACACACTGAGCATCACTGCGTCTGACACACTGCTGCTCACGAAACGACTCGCTTCACTCTTCACTGCACTCAGTTTTGTTGACAACATGTTGTGTTGTGATCATTTTGTCAAAGTCACGACATTAATTGTGCGATTTGAAGATGCTGTGTTGTGATCCCTTCATTTAAATGATTCATTCAAAGAAGCCAAATTATTTGCAAAACACCACTAATTATATCTTCATATTATAATATATGACTACTCTAACTGAAATGAAGTATTCAATTATAATACGTAATATGTTAAAATCCCATTAAGAGAAGTCAATACCCTCAAAGAGGAAAACTTGTGTCTACAGATTTATTTTTTGAGATGTATTATGTAAATTATTAATATTATATATTATTAATAACGGATTATTCAAACTTTTGTAATGTCACAGGAATGAGGTATAAGATGATATAACAATGTGCCTAAGTGCTGCTTTATATATTCTTAATTGATCTGAATAAAAATTTTATTTTATTAATCATTTTCATTTATGATGATCCCAGGTTTCTATGGTGACAGTTTTTTTTATACACTAAATTCATGGCCATGAGAAAATGTATTGTGGCCTAAAAATATATAATATTAATAATTTAATAATATAATACACTAATAATTTAAACGTTGTCACAGGAACAAGGTTTAATATAATATAATGTAATGTCATATAATATAATATATAGTGTTTTTATGGTAATGCAGGGTTTTTTACTCATTAAAGTCGTGGCCACAAGAAAATGCACTATGGCAAAATATATACATTATTAAGAATCGAATAATATATATTTATAGCAAATTCTTAAAACATTTGAATTATGCCATGGGAACAAGATATAATATAATAATATAATGTATTATAATATACATGTAGCCTTGTCTTAATGCTGCACTGTCATTCTTAATTCTAAATAAAATTTTATTTTATTAATTATCTTCCTTTCTGATAATCCCAGGTTTCTATGGTGATGCAGGTTTGTTTACTTATTAAAATCATGTTCCTGCATCAGGATCTCAAGACCATGACATCACATTACATCATTTTCCTCAACACAATGATCTCATGGACTCAGTGTCTTGTAGTGTAATGTCATGTGATCACATTCCCATGAGTCCTTGTGTCGTGGCCACAACAAAGCTGAAGTGAAGCGTGGCGTCTCTTTCGTCTGCGATTTCTCTGCTGATTGTGATGTTGTCGTGTAACAGCAGAGTGGTGTGTGTGTGTCTGTGTGTGTGTGTGTGTTATATGCAGTTACATAACTAGGGCTGTTCATTTAGTACAATTATAAAAAATGACAAAGCAAATCTGAATTGAACAGTTGAATGGTTTTACTGGATATATTGTCTTAATGATAAGAATAATCGTAAGAATAATGATTATGTAATTAATTGATGTAATTTATTCCAAATAAATTTGCAGTCGATGGACAGCCCTAATTATAAGCTTTACTAGTTTCAGTGATGAATCTCATTTTTCTAACGCTCACTCGTGTGTTTCTGCAGATTTACGTTCGAGCGCAGTTCGAGTACGATCCTGCTAAAGACGACCTGATTCCCTGTAAAGAGGCTGGCGTTCGTTTCCGGGTGGGTGACATCATCCAGATCATCAGTAAGGACGATCATAACTGGTGGCAGGGCAAACTGGAGAACACCAAGAACGGCACGGCGGGCCTCATTCCCTCGCCGGAGCTGCAGGAGTGGTGAGAAACACAGACCACAGCTGCACTCGTGTGAGCGAGGCCTGGTCTCATGTGTGTGTGTGTGTGTGTCGTCAGGCGTGTGGCGTGTATAGCGATGGAGAAGACCAAGCAGGAGCAGCAGGCCAGCTGCACATGGTTCGGCAAGAAGAAGAAACAGTACAAAGACAAATACTTAGCCAAACACAACGCAGGTAATGAGCAGCGGACCGTCCATCATGACATCATCAGAATAATCACTCTCACACACACATTAAAGTCGTGGCCACAAGAAAATGCACTATGGCAAAATATATACATTATTAAGAATCGAATAATATATATTTATAGCAAATTCTTAAAACATTTGAATTATGCCATGGGAACAAGATATAATATAATAATATAATGTATTATAATATACATGTAGCCTTGTCTTAATGCTGCACTGTCATTCTTAATTCTAAATAAAATTTTATTTTATTAATTATCTTCCTTTCTGATAATCCCAGGTTTCTATGGTGATGCAGGTTTGTTTACTTATTAAAATCATGTTCCTGCATCAGGATCTCAAGACCATGACATCACATTACATCATTTTCCTCAACACAATGATCTCATGGACTCAGTGTCTTGTAGTGTAATGTCATGTGATCACATTCCCATGAGTCCTTGTGTCGTGGCCACAACAAAGCTGAAGTGAAGCGTGGCGTCTCTTTCGTCTGCGATTTCTGTGCTGATTGTGATGTTGTCGTGTAACAGCAGAGTGGTGTGTGTGTCTGTGTGTGTCTGTGTGTGTCTGTGTCTGTGTGTGTGAGTGTGTGTGTCTGTGAGTGAGTGTGTGAGTGTCTGTGTGAGTGTGTGAGAGAGAGTGTGTGTGTGTGTGTGAGTGTGTGTGTCCGAGTGTGAGTGTGTGTGTGTGAGCACATGGCTCATATGTGTGTGTTCAGCAGCATGGTGTTGTTCTCTCCAGCGCCGCTCGTGTGTGTGTGTGTGTGTTTGTAATGTGTGTTTAACTGACCCCTGTTCATTTTACACGCTGTCTCCCTTTAATGGCCTCCCGCATGTAAGTAACTAATCATGTCAATCTCCTTTTGCTTAAGTATAGGTTGTTGTGTTTTTACTTATGTTACCCATGTCAAGCAGGCAACTAGTAAAGGAAGTTCACTGTTTTTGTGAGATCTGTTGTTGAAATTAGTCGATGTGATTGACAGTGTTGTGTTGCCGTGGAGCTTCTGTCACTTCCTGTGAGGGCTGTAGAACTTCCTCACAGTCACGTCTTATTGAAAAGCACTGATGACTTTGACTGCTGATGTGGAAGGAGCAGGAGCTCGACTGATGCTGGAACACACTGCACCACTTCAACATAACCATGCACTAATAGCTAGATTTAATATTACTTACATATGAACTAATGATGAGTTAAGGCAAGTACTAATCAAGAGCTTAAACTACGACACGAGTCATGAATCCATCTGTGATTAGTACAAGCCATAACTCATCACTAGTTCATATTACAGTAATACTTTCACGACAAACTCGCACAGAAACACGGATCTCATTGCTCTGAGACGCATGATAAATCAAACAGTTCTCAAAATATCAGACGTGTTTAATATCGTCCGACTGGATGGAATCAGATTCTGTGTCCATCACACCTTACATGATTTTCTGTGAAATCCAGCAACTCAAATCTGAAGACTGCTCTGTAGATCAGGGCAGGAGTGTTGTAGTGTTTTCCAGCTTTACAGGAGCAGGTCACCCTCACTAGTGAACTGTCTTCATTTACTCGCCCTCGTGTTGCTCTGAAGCCGTGTGAGCACAGATGGGATGTTCAGCAGAATGTTCCTGCTCATCTGAAGCCGTATGATAGTTTGGTGATTAACATGGAAAGTTAAAGTATGTACGATTAATCTGCTGTGAAAGAGCAGCATGAACATTCTGCTAAACGTCTCATTTCATGTTCCACAAGGTCGAGTCAGTGAATCTCTTAGTTGAGTTTAATTAAAAGACATCTTAAAGCAACCCCAGAGTTCATCTCACCAGCTCTCATCACATCTGAATGACATCACTTCCTGTTTCCTGCTGATTGACACTAACGCCCGTCACACAGTCCAGTGTCACTGATCCAGGTCTCTCGTTCCTCCAGTCTTCGACCAACTAGATCTGGTGACGTATGAAGAGGTGGTGAAGCTGCCGGGGTTCAAGAGGAAAACGCTGGTGCTGCTGGGTAAGAGCTCTGACGCGGTCAGGTCTGTTTCAGCTGTGAATCAGTCATTAATCAGCTCAGTTCAGTTCAGTAACAGTGGCGCTGATTCCTGTGTCTGCAGGAGCTCATGGCGTCGGCCGGAGACACATCAAGAACACTCTCATGGCAAAACATCCCGAAAGATTTGCGTATCCCATCCCACGTGAGAGACGCGCGTCACGCCTGATGCAGCTCGCCATGAACCGCCTGTCCACTGACCGCTCTCTCTCTCTCTTTCTCTCTCTTACTAAAAATAAATAAATAAATAAAATAACAATAATAATAAATAATAAAAAAATGCATGCATGTGTATATATAATTAAAATAGAACAAATCAACATTTATTATTCCATGAACAATTTCTCTCTCTCTCTCTCCGACAGACACCACCAGACCTCCGAAGAAGGACGAGGAGAACGGCAAGAACTACTTCTTTGTGTCACATGACCAGATGATGCAGGACATCTCCAATAACGATTACCTGGAGTACGGCAGCCACGAGGACGCCATGTACGGCACGCGCCTCGAGACCATCCGCCAGATCCACGAGCAGGGCATGGTGGTCATCCTGGACGTGGAGCCGCAGGTACAGACGCATCTCTCATTCGTGACCCTGCAGCACAAAAGCAGTGTTAAGTCGCTGGGGTATATTTGTAGCAATAGC